AGTCATCACTTTAGCTCTCGGCTTATGAGAAAATTAGCTAAGCATGACAAAAGTCATACTTAGCATGTTTAAAAATAAAACTTAAAATAAAATAAAAATGAAAACTTGAAAAGAAATAACTTTATAAAACTAGAAAGAAGAAGAAGAGTAAATTCTGAGTTGTGAGTTTAGGCTTACCCCAATAGGATATTTATAGCCTCTAAAACCCTAGAGATAAACATAAAAATTAAAAGAAAAATAATCCTAAAGATAATTCCAAATGTTTTCTAAATTCAAACTTTAAAATTTAAAAATAAGTCTCCTAAGATATCTCTGCCCGTCCACATTCCAGAAGGTACTGACTAAATCTTCTAGAAAACTGATGCTGAGTGGACATTCCATAAACTGCCACGTCAGACCGTGTCATGCCCAGAGTCGTGCCCATGTCTCTAGTCGTGACCAAATAAAAAAAAATACTGAATGCGTCTGTTTTATTGCTAATTCTGGAAAGTAAGATCCTGCACGAAAATAAGCATAACACAACTAAATTAGCAATAATAAATCCATAAGATCGAAGAATTAACAAGAAAATATTATCAATTTAGAGCACTCATCACACACATTCTCATTTGGACTATAAAAGTTATGTTGATCTTGTATACCAACTTTTGCAAGTATTCAAGGTATATGAATTTGAGTTTCCCCCATAGGTATGAAAAAGACCCAAATGAGATTCAGACTTGGCTTACAATTATACTAGATCCGTTATTGTTAAGGGAGTAAGGTTGTCCAAAATCTACTCGAATTCATTGTGATATAGATATTTGAGAGACATCAAAAGAAAACAAAAGATGTGGATATTGTAGAAACCTAGGCCACAATAGGAAAAATGTCCATCTCTTTTATCATCATTTAACTATTGACCATTACTTATGTAATTGTATTTTCTAATATTTCGATTTATGTGATTTTATTTTCTTTTCTTTTACAAGACGAGGCTTTATTATATTTTTTACAATTTAATGTTTAGGATTTATTATTTTTTGTTTAGGGTTTAGTTCTTGTGATTAAGATTTTGATTTTAATATAACCCTAAATCATTTAAAAACAACCTTAAACCATTTTAACTTAAAAAATCCTAAACTGCTCAAGCAACCCTAAATCTAGTATAAAAAAAATGCATGACCCGCAACACGCCTTCCACAGTGGCACCCTATCAACAAAAATTCATGGAAAACAAGTCCCCTGTAACGCGTCTTTCCTTCACCTCAGCAAGGCATGTTACTATCAATGTGCCTCCCTCTCAGTCTATCATAAAGGTTGCTAGTTTGGTATATATTCGAGAAATGATGTTAAATTGATGTTTTTTTAATTATTATTTTAGGTGATTTTTAGATAAAATTACCAAAGAGATATACAAACCATTATTCTAGATTTTGTTTTCAAATAAAAATTCCATTAAAATAAATAGATGTAACAATGCTTCTAATAAAATTTCTAATAACTAACAACCCTATAAAAATAATTTTCTATTAAATTTATAAAAATAAATGTTTAATTAATAAAAAAAAGTATATATGTATAAGACCATTACAGTAGAATTAATTTTAATTCCAATTAATGAGTACAAATTATTGGTCTACCATTTTATTCAAACTCTAGTATTATATTTTTTTATCAATCTTTTAAATTTTAATTTTTTATTATCTAAAATTTATTATTAATAAAGATATGAAAAAATATTTTAAAAACTTTTAATCATGTTTTTTGGTATAATAAAAGTTTAGGTCAGGGATGACTCATAGTCCAGGATCAGAGCATATATAAAACTCAATTGAGATTTATAGGAATTTACAGATTATCCACCAAGAGTGATGGCGACAGGATTCGAACTTGGACTTGCAAGTGCTCAAATTCCTAAATTCTAACAACTTGTACCAATAGTTGTTGACTTATTCATGTTTTAAATATATATTTTACAAAATTTAATTTTTTGAAAGACGAATAAAAGATAATTCAAGTGGGACTCTTATAGAAAGAGTAACACTTACTGGTTTCTTAGCATGATTTAAAAAGTTTAAAATAACCTCAATGACCGAAAATACCATGTAATATACGATTTTGACCAACTTTTTTTGGATTTGCCAAAATGGGCAACAAAATCGCAATGCGATCTCCAGTATCGCAAATCAGTTTCCAGATTCGCAATGCGAACTTCGACTATCGCATTGCGATTTTCCAAATTCGCGTTGCGATTTACATATTTGCATTGCGATAGTCCAAGTTCGCGTTGCGATAGTCGAAGTTCACGTTGCGATTTACATATTCGCATTGCGATTTACATATTCGCATTTACCCAAAATCGCAACGACTGTTGGTACTACATTTGTTTCTTAAGAATTTTCTCTAAAAAGATAGTATTCGCGCGGACGTATCGAAGACACGTATTACCACGACCACGACCCGACCCGAGACGAGACGGACGGCGACGGCGGCGACGCGCGAGAGTCCCCTCTGTTCTCTATCACTCGACAAGGAAGTGGGAAAGCCAAGCCTTAAATACCATTCCCAATAGTGTTTCCAAAACTATGTGGGATTGAGCATTACCAACACTTGTTTCCAATACTATGTGATTATTCAAGAAACAATTAACAATCATGCACCTTAAAACAACTGAATCAGCAACCAATTGCATTAGTATTATACGATTAAATATGTCATAATTAAAAGCCAATATACAATCACATAATTTGATATCTAATGTAATTAAAAAAATCTCTTATAATTGTAATTATGGGCACAAAAAAACATGAAAACTAAAAGTTATGTTCTGATTATCGCAATTTTAAGCAAAACATTCAAAAAAAATTGCATCACTCGCGAGAATAAAAAAAAATTGTTATCGTGCAATTACAATCAATTGAAAATAAATTAGAATTGCATGAAAACTAAACGAACCACAAATACTTTTCATACAAATACTAAAGTCATTAACTATAATTCACAAATAATATCACTATTTAAGGCTCAATCCCACATAGTATTGGGAACAAGTGTTGGTAATGCTCAATCTCACATAGTATTGGAAACACTATTGGGAATAGTATTTAAGGCTTGGCTTTCCCACTTCCTTGTTGAGTGATAGAGAACAAGGGGGGGGACTCTTGCGCCGTCGTCTCGTCTCGGGTCGTGGTCGTGGTAATACGTGTCTTTGACACGTCCGCGCGAATACTATCTTTTTAGAGAAAATTCTTAAGAAACAAATGCAATACCACCAGTCGTTGCGATTTTGGGCAAATGCAAATATGTAAATCGCAACGAATTTGGAAAATCGTAACGCGAACTTCGACTATCGCAATGCGAATATGTAAATCGTAACGTGAACTTGGACTATCGCAACGAATTTGGAAAATCGCAACGCGAACTTCGACTATCGCAATGCGAATATGTAAATCACAACGTGAACTTGGATTATCGCAACGAATTTGGAAAATCGCAACGTGAACTTGGACTATCGTAACGAATTTGGAAAATCGCAACGCGAACTCTGACTATCGCAACGAGAACTTGGACTATCGCAATGTGAATATGTAAATCGCAACGCGAATTTGGAAAATCGCAATGCGATAGTCGAAGTTCGTATTGCGAATCTAAAAACTGATTTGCGATACTGGATATCGCGTTGCGAATTAGAGATCACATTGCGATTTTGTTGGTCATTTTGGCAAATCCAAAAAAAATTGATCAAAATCATATATTACAAAGCATTTTCGATCACTGAGGTTATTTTCTCTTTCTTGAGATTTAAAAAAAAAAATCTTATTTAATTTCATGAGAAAATGGAAATAGAAATGGGAAACAAATTGCAATCCAGCTAAAAAGAAAGAGAAGATGTAATATCGAATGGAATTGAAGCAGGTGGATGTGCAGTGTGGGTTTAAGGCATCACTGTCTCTTTGCTGGCGTAGATTTCGTTAGATTTGATGTCGACCTCTCCCAATATGCCATTTCCCATTCTCTCTATTTCTCGCCTCTTTGGAATATTTTTTTCCCCTTTTATTATCTTTTATCAAATTAATTAATTTATTAAATACAGAGATGTCCACTTCTCAATTTCATTTAACTTAATTGAATAGATTCTAATTGAATTAATTTAGTTAAATGATGAGTAATTTAAATTAATTTCATCAGTTAATATTTAATTTTTTAATATTCAATTAATATTTAATTAACTAAATTAAATGAAAATATTTAATATTATATATATTTTAAGCTCAATCTCATTAAATATTTAATTATTTTTCAGTCACATTAGACCCACTAAATTATAAAGCTGTTGACAGAGGCCATACCCTTCAACTGGAAGAGATTAAAGAGTATGGTTTCTTTTGTATGCTATTAATTAAAGATTATATCTCGCTAAAGATTTTCCAGGGTCGTGGCAGGGTTTTCGGGGTTATGTATAAATTCGTATAAAGGGGTCTTTATTTTCTAGATATATTCAATTTCGGGGCAATAATAATAGCGTTTTCTTAATAAACGCCGTAATAAATTCATCTATAATGACGTTTTATCAATAAAGCCGCAATAATAATGGTGTTTTTAAAAAAAAAATCACAATAGGTCCATCTATAATGACGTTTATTGATAAAACACCACTATATATATTTTTTTTGAAACCCATTTTTTAGGGCCTACGCGGTCGCACAGTTTACGCCCTCAGCCACGGCCCTGGATTCTCCCCCACTCTTTCCTTTACTTTATTTCAGCTTTCCTCGAAATATTCTTCAGATTTGGGTAAGCTTTTCTGTTCAAAAATTATAGTGGGAATATAACTAAATTAGTGACAGAATTAGGATGGAACATTATAGGATTAAGTTATCGAATTTTAAATTTAAATTAAATAAGATAAATCATAATTTTTTAACTATTTTAACTATTGACAATGTACACACAAACAAACTATATTATTGATAAACTCTTAATACCATTTGCTGTTTATATGAGAGATGATTGGTTCTTTACATGAAAAATATCCATCTATTCTTAGCCGATGAATAGTGTGCATACTTCTCCTCCACGAAAGCTTCCACAACTGCGTTCTTCTCCCCAACATCTTTGAACTGGACTCTCCTACTATGGCCTGTAAATATACGTTAAATGTTCAAGATGGAATTTAAAAACAGTAAGGGCATTGAATCCAAACTTTTGTTGTACAATACCAACCTGGTATTATCCAATTGAAATCCAAATCCAACAACTTTTTAACACTATCTACTTGTGTTCCAACTGCCAAAAACCATGCAGAAAAAGGTAAATGATGAAAATATGAATGGAATAACTGTTAGAAAGACAGGATCCGATAACATGTTCAGCTAGATGATGATCCCTAGTAAGGTAGCAAGAATCTCATATGTACCACTATATATATATGTATATACAGTTATGTCCTGCGTTACACCGACCATTCATTTTTCTTGAAATATCCGTATTCAGCACATACAGAAACATGAGTATGAAGATATGACCTTCCATAGACTTCCATTTGCATGAAAAAGGCTAAAAAAACATGAAATATATGTATGGAGAAATATAGAAATACCCTAATCCGATACCCATACCCGAGTCGAGTAACATAGGTTATACCTGAATATCTGTTGTACATCTCTATGATGTCCAACCCAGATTCTCTCATCATCAGATGGTCACCAGTGAATAGAATCTTAAGAGGCTTATAAAACAAGCAAACAGAACCCTGCAACAATATTATAAAATGTCCAACTGTTTGAAAAGCTTCTGATAGAACCAAACTGTTTGAAAAGCTTCTGATAGAACCAAACTATTTGAAAACCTCACTTAAATCTGACATTAGGCATGTAAATGAACTGAACGTTCAGCGAACCGTTCATGAACCGTGCGCGGGATTCGTTCATTTATGTTCATGAACATTCGATTATATGTTCGTTTATGTTCGTTCATTTATGTTCATTTCTATTCGTTCATTTATGTTCGAACAGAGGGCAAGTTGAATATGTTACGAAGATTATTGAAGTTGTTTGGATTTCAAGAAAATTGTTTTGTTGAACAAATTAACTTTAAGACTTTATTATGTTCATATAGTTTATTTATGATTTATGTATGTTTTTGTCATATTCGAACAAATTAACTCTAAAGTTGCAGGTTATATTAATGAATTTTAAGTTGTTATTCTTGTTGTTTATTCTTTTTTTACATTCGTTTGTTGTGTTCGAATAAGTTTTTTTGTTGTGTTTGTGTTGTTCGTTTATGTTCGTTTATTGTGTTCGTTTATATTCGTTCGTTCGTGTTCGTTTATATTCGTTTATTATTTAAATGAACGAACATGAACAAGCTATATTCCTTAATGAACGAACATGAACAAAAAAAATTTTGTTCGTTTATGTTCGTGTTCATTTTATTTATTTAATGAACGAACATGATCATACCTCTGTTCGTGTGCGTTCGGTTCGTTTACAGGCCTATCTGATTATTAGGTTGAGGAAAGTATTTCTTAAGTGGTAATGAAACCGTATTTGCTCACAATTTTTTAGTATGCATTAAATTAATAACTCACTTCCGTTTGGCCCGGAGTGTGTATAAGCATAAAATCTTGTCCAAGCCACCATGGGCCGCTGCCGTCTAGCTTTGTCTCTACATCAGCAGTACCAGCTTCAACCTGCAGAGATAGACTTTAAATTTACATGTACTATCTAATTAGCACATACCAGAGGTAAGGATAACATTTCTGCATAATTGACTTTGCCAAAATTCTTAAACAGATGATAGACCATACCAGAGGCAAGGATATATAGCACTTACATCTCCATAATGCAGAATCCGATCACAATGAAACCGCTTCGCCCACTTCCCGTGATCAGCAACATCATCCCTGACCATAAAAACATGGATCATAAACCTCTAAGGAACAAAAGATGAAAAAATTGCTGACATACTTGTGGGTTAGAAACATATAGCGCACTCCCCCCATCTCCTCGATTTTATGTGCCAGTCTCTCTGTGAATCTGGGGCTGAAAAAAAAATATTACACCCATGTTAGCTCATCTTATTAAGTGAAGTGGTAACTGCTGCAAGTTTCATCGTATTAGTACCTATCTATGAGTATATTTCCATCAGAATGAACGATCAAGTAGGAAGAAGCTCCATATGACTTGGAAGAATGGTACCCACAGTGATAAACACCCTGAAAACATATCGTTTTATAGCCACAGTGAACAAGTAAGCATGTTGTTTCCAGAAACAAGAACGTGATGAACAATATAGTCTTTCAAATGATACAGTAACGATAAGGGATACCGGAAGTTTCTTCTCATCTATTGGAATTGGAAATGTCTTCTGAGCTTCTAGGATATCAGAAGTAGATATTTCTGTATGGATCGAGCTTGTCGGACAGGAAAGCAAGGCCTGCAAATTTCAACATTTTATACTACAAAATAGAAGAAGCTGCTGCAAGTTTGAAAACAAGTTGAATTTGAATCTTAAAAGACATAAAGAGATTCATCACAACCACAAATGTTGCTGTTTCTTGTGCAATAGACATTAACAGTAATATAATAGTCTGCAAGTGTGTGCATGTGCAAAAAGTCTGTAGAAGAAACAAAACGAGCAAACCTGGAGGGCTTGTAATCGATCCTCCTTGCAGGTAGGCTGATTGTAAACTGCAGACATCTCGCCAACTCGTGTGAAGACTTGCTGAAAAGGCAAGAAATAGATTACCGGAAAAGTTTTGTTTTACATTCATAGCATTATCTGCAGTAAACATTCATCTACTCAAAAAAGTTAACTGTAATACAAATACAAGCGGGGTAGATTACCGGAGCCATCCATCGGCAGGTATCACAATCTATGCATGTATGATCTGCAGGGCGTATTAAAAAGCATTATCAAAATTATCAGAGATAGCAGTGTCTGTGCACAGGGAGAAATATTACAAGGTACTTACAATTTTGCAACCTATGGTGATTTTGGATGCATCATTATTAAGAAAACACAAACACAGCAAAGAAAAAAAAATGGTAAAACATGTGGGGAAACACAATCTACATAACAGAACATGAATTTACAACCCTTCTTCAATTAACCAACTGATCCGATCCACCTACTGAAGAATAATTACAACGACAAAGGTCTTAGAAAAGGGAAAGTGGATATTTACCTACAAAGAAGTCTCCATCTACATTCTGGGGGCGTCTCTGTCTTGCCCATCTTCCGGTATCTGATTCAGCTTGGCTTTGAGCTGCTTTAACCTGTGGAATTGTTGAAACCCTCAAGTTCTTTTGGACACCCTTTGATGACTTGTTTAGCTTATCGAAAGAAGAAGGAAAAGCTGAGGTAAAACTTGTAAGGCTGATAGCTTTGTTTGCCATAACCATGGGGATATTTTCCCTCCTCCAGGCAGGAAGACGATAAAACGATGACAATATCTCCTATCATCACTATTTCTTTTAATTTAAATTTCTTTCATAATTTTAATTACTGATATTACAACTTCTTTCTTTTTTTACGTAGGCCTAGTAGCAGCCCGTGTCCTAATTCGATGCTGAAACCGATCATGGTTATTGGTATCATACCGATATCTCTGACCATGGGCGGTTACTGATGTTTTTTGTCTTAAGTATCTTATTTCTTTCGTTTTCAGAATTCATAATTACATATTATAACATTATTTTTAATATTCTTTATAAAATTCATATTGAAGACTCGTGATTATCCATTTTTAACAATATCAAATTCTTTTTGTTGAAAATAGACTTAAAAAGGTAATTTATATTCAATGTTCTTTGATCAACGCTATTACAACACTTATAATATTGATATGATAAATCATGTGTGAATGATAATGTAAAATAAACTTAAAAGGGTCATTTATATTCAATGTCTTCTGCAATATAATTAATTTTAATTAAAAATTTATGAGCACAGTTAATTTTAAAAATTTTGAAAAAAAAACTAAGAAATTTAAATTTTAAAATATAAAAATTAAAACTATAAAATGTTCTAAATTGCTAATTATTGGTTGCTAACTTAATTATAGAAGGGGAAGAAACAAAAGGGAGTATTCCTTCCGACCAAATGTTTATATATCTTACTTTCGTGAACCATTTTAGCATGTCAATCAGTTATTTTATTCATAAGATGGTCAAAAACAATTGAATCAATGATGCTGAAAGCATTTCAGACTGCGTTCGAAAGGGTCCGATGGCAACACTCTAGCACAGAAGGAAACCCCTTGCACCAGGGAGTTCGATAGCTCCTAGGTACAGAATTGTGACAACAAGGAAATTCAAGATGATACCATTACCAAGGGAAGACGAATCTTCGAATGAAATTAATATTACACGTGAATAGTAGAGACCTTAATTGCAACTAACAATCTCATCAATTACATTTGAATGCACCTAAAACATGTCAATCAGTGAATAGAGCCTTGAAACAACCAAAAATCTTTTGAAGACACAAGCAGGCAATCTTTTCATTCCAACAACTCAAAACCACAACTACAAACTGCCAGACCGGATATATCATCTACATATACACAGATTGACTGCTATAAATAAAAACGATAAACCGGGTTGCAGGGGTTCACTTATGCTAACTCTACACAAGACTAGTGAAGTTTTTTTACCATACAAAATGTATCCATGAAGAGGTCACTTTGCATCTTCACTACCTGAAGTTCTGAAGCCACTGATTTTCAGATTCAACCATTGTTGGCAAGGAAAGATATAAACAGGATATCTGCAATGGAGCAAATGAGAAACAGTAAATTATGCAAAGTTGCATGTGATCGTTGGTATGTCATTTAATAACCATATGAATAACAGGGGTAATAAAAAATATGAGAAACATAATTAAGAATTATAGTAACATATGACTTTGGAGAAAGATCCATTACTCTGGATTTCACCCTTCAGACTAGAAAACTAAAAACACATTACGGATCACCAAATTAACCAATAAGGACATCAAGTACTATTCTTACTCAACCACATCTTTGCTATGGTATATCTATATGTTGAAAACTAACAAACAATAATATACAATGCTAAAAACAATTTATCAGATTAATTCATTGAATTGACCTACTCCTACACTCGCAAGTCGCGACCACATAATTGCAATGAAGATCATTGATATTTATAAATATGAGCACTAACACCAACACTACCAAATTAAAAATTGTAAGAGAAAAAGGAACAAAAATACAACACTATTCAGCTTACTTTTGTCGCGAATTGTAAGCCGCTATACAATGATAGCTGCAATCATCACATTTTAGTGGACATGAACTTTGCTTTTTTTCTCAGCTGGCTTGAGAATCTGGAAAGAACACGTCAAGTTTTCATCGACACTCATCATTGCACCGGCATTATCAAATTCACCACAGTAGTTAGGTGCTGAAAATATTGTAACAAGTTGCCTATCGGCAAAGAATTCATAACCATCCTCCACAACCTACATCCAACAGAATCAGTTCAGCTCTAATATTGATCAGTAATATATAAAGGGAAAAGTTTAGACAAGTCAATAACCTGATGCGCACGACAGACAAGATCTAAATCATGTTTCCCTAAGAATTCTGCCACCTTGTCTGCCCCAAAAGTGAAAGAAACTCCTCTGTCATTCATTCCCCATCCTCTAACATCTCTATTAGGATCAGACCAGAGCAAATCACACAGCAAGCCAGTGTCAGGAATGATAGTTGGACGAAACAAATTTCTAATTTCATCTAGGTTCACCAAATCCGGGGAAAGACCACCATGCATACACAATATTTTGTCATCTATAAGAGCCGCAACAGGAAGGCAGTTAAAACAATCAGTAAAGCTTTTCCAAAGCCTCACATTAAACCTTCGTTTGCATTCATCATAAAACCCATATATCCGATTAATAGATGCACATTCATGGTTTCCTCGCAATAGGAAAAAGTTCTCTGGATACTTAATCTTATAAGCAAGTAGAAGACATATTGTTTCCAAACTCTGCTTGCCACGATCCACATAGTCGCCTAGAAATAGATAATTAGCATGAGGCGGAAACCCCCCATACTCGAAGAGCCTTAGTAAATCACTAAATTGTCCATGTATGTCACCTAAATAAAAGCACAAACAAACACTTTACAATAAGAAACAATAAATTACAACATAATGATGGTAGTACTAAGAGGTCCGTTTTTACTTATATGCATGCTTCATTGCACTAGAAAACGTTATCTAATCGCAAATGCCCCAAGCAGAATGCATGATTTTTAATCTCTTTATATATTTTCCCTACAGTTTTCAGCAATCAAACAGCAATAAACCACCACCAGAACAACAACAGCAACAAAATTACCCTCAACCAAACTCCAAAATGAACGGTAAATTAGGCATTCAAACTTTCAAAAATAAATGAGAAATTCACATCTTATCTGGTTCAGAATTCTTAACTGAATCCCTGAACATTATATTTCAATTAAAAAACGAAACTTTTGAATCTACCACAAACCAGTTATCCACATTGATTTCCCCTAAAAACATAATAAAAACTCAACTTTCCTTCAAGGCCCACAAAATGTTCTCATAAAAACACTAAAAATAAACATAAACATCAAATTTATACACAAAAAAATCAAAAGTAAAAAAGAACCGGAATGTTACCGCAAATTTTGATGGGGGCTTCGAGTTCAAGCAAATTGGGCTGTTGAAGGAAGATATCTTTGGAGGCAAGACAAAGATGCTTGATCTCAGACTCAGAAAGTTGCACTTGTTTGCCTGGCCTGGATAATCGGACTTCCGTAAGCCGTCTGATTATATCATCTAGCAGCGCGGGGTCCATCATCGTCTTCGCCGTTTGGCCGTGTGCGTCCGTCGCCATTAGATAATCTTCCTTCAACGTTCCCGATTTAACAAAACCCTAAAAAGCTCAAAAGCGCTAGAAAATGACTTCCTTTTGGTTGAGCCTTGGAGGGTAAACGAGTTTCAGAGAATGGAGAAAAAATATTCAAAAAGTATTTTCCCGACGAAAGAGGGAAAATAAAATAATATTTTTCCCTAATAGCGAGAAATTAAATCCCTGAATTTCCTTTTTTCTTCTTCAAAGGAACATGTTTCCGAAGCGATGCCGTTTTACAAGGAGTTGTTGTTTTAGACCATTTGAGTCCGGTTCATTGGCGGCCACCTCGGCTTTGCTTTCGAGTTTGAATCACCCATACAATGCGGGTTATTTGACATAACTGACATCCTTTTTTTTAATTTCTACTTTCTGACACCGTTTGACTAATATTTCCAGAAGTAGCACCCTTTCTGCTGAGTTGGCAAAGGCGCGTCCCCGGGGACGCGCTTTACCCGTGTTTTCGCTGAGTTGGATGCCACGTGTGGAAGGCGCATCCCCGGGGACGCGCCTTTGCCAACTCAGCAGACACGTGTGGAAAGCGCATCCCCGGGGACGCGCCTTCCATTAAATGTCATAAATGGCCCCATCCGTTTTTCCTAACTACCCCTCCTCCTCCCCTATATAAACCCTCCTCAACCCTCCCTCATTCTTCACACCAAAATCATCTTCTCCTCTATTATATAACTCAAATTCTCCAACTATTTGAGTTTTAAATTTGTTATTAGTGGTAAGAAATTTATTTTTATGTTATTATTTTTTTAAATATTTATTATTTTTTATATTAATATATTTATGTAAATATTATATTTTATTAAAATAATATTTATAATTATTATTTATTTAGAATTATTAATTTTTTTTTGCTAATTATATTGTTTTGTCTACAGTTATAATGGAAAACGAAATGCTGTTGCGATTGGATATTGATCATATCTCCAGACATTTTAGCGATATTGTAATATTTTTTATAATTAATGTTAATAGTTAAATTTATTTTTATTTTAAAGTTATTATGAATTTATATTAATTTTTATTTTTTATAATGTATATTATTTAGGATGCTGATCGTATTTTAGAGACTTTTATTAAAATTCCACGTATACCAACACCGGAACGTATTTTGCCATATTTGGCTTCTGCCGGGTTCGGGTATATTGCAACAATTATAGGCGGTTGCAAACTCGAACCTGTCCTAATTTCTGCACTGATTGAGAGGTGGAGGCCCGAGACACACACTTTTCACCTTCCATGTGGAGAGGCGACAATTACATTGGAGGATGTCTCTATGCATCTGGGGCTTCCCGTCGACGAAAATATGATGTGTGGTATGGCGGATGGTGATTGGCAATCAATGTGCATTGATTATCTTGGAGCTGCTCCGCCAGAGTTTAATGGAGGTAGAATAGCTTTATCTTGGTTAAAAGCTAATTTTGAGGTTTTAAATGAAAATGCTTCAGAGGATCAAGCAAAGGCATGTGCTCGGGCATATATTCTACGAATAATTGGAGGAATATTGATGCCCGACAAATCTCGCAACCATGTGCATTGTATTGGGCATCTGATCGATTTTGATGAAGCTGGAAGATATAGTTGGGGTGCTGCAGTTTTGGCATTTCTCTTTAGAGAAATGTGTCGGGCGACGAATTATAAGAAAACTGCTATCGGTGGATGTCTTCTTCTTCTACAATCATGGGCGTGGTTCCGCATGCCTTTCTTATGCCCGATCGTGAATGAACCATACGTATTCCCCTTATTTTTGAGGTAATTTTCGAACTAAATTTTGATTTAAATATTTTTAATTAAATAGGGTGATATTTAGTTTATATTATATTTCATAGGTGGTCGATGAAAAGAAAGGACCATAAAAGTATACCTACTGGGTTAGAGGAAATTCGTTTACTTATTGATACGAAAGCTGGGTCTGAGGTATGTTTTTAAATTTGTTTAATTATTAATATTTTAATTTAAAATGTTAGATATAATTAGAATATTTTATTTATTTGAATTGTATATTTATATTTCAGTTTCAGTGGATACCTTATGCGAGCGATGAAGTGAAAGCTTGCATCCCACCCCACCTTAGTGGGTCATTAGAGGTATGGATATCGGTTATACCTCTTATATGTTATGCTATTATTGAGTGGCATCCAGTTGATCGCGTGCTCCGTCAGTATGGTTGTACGCAATATATTCCTGGAGCTCTTAGGAATTTAGACGACGTGAATAACATAGATAGACGAGGGAAGAAATGTTAACTGGGTGGTGAGACACAGAGATTGGATTGCGCTTTGGGAGAACCGATATACACTGGTGGCCCCTCGACAATATTACGCTGAAACTGGTCATATGGTTACGGATAACTATATGGACTGGTTTAATGAAAATGGGAAGCCGTTTCTACTTTTGGCAGAAGCACGAGGGGTTAACATTCCTAGGCGCCGAGAAAGACGTCAACCGTCTCAATATCATCGTCCCCCGTCGTGTGGACGGAGAGAAGGCGCTACCGGTTCTGCATCAGTCCCACCACAACATCCTTATTCGTCGATGCCGCAGGGGTACATGCCCAGCCCTCCACTTCATATGCCAAGCCCACCAGTTTATATGCCATCTCCGCAGGGTTACATTCCGAGCCCACATGGTTACATTCCGAGCCCGCAGGGTTACATTCCTAGCCCGCCAGGTTACATGCCTAGCCCGCAGGGTTTTATACCATATGGAGGTGCATATACGACTATGTTTAATGATCCAGCATATGGTTCATATGCATCTTATTTGGCTGGTGGTGTTTCTCCGCAGACACCTCAATCTCCATCTAGATCACAGACATCGATGCCAATGTTTCCACAGTTTTCACAGTTCCCGAGGAGCGGTGGGATTGTTACTAGCACTCCTCCAGGGTCTTTATTTTATACAAGCCCTTCAGACCCTTCAGCGTCATCTACACCAAATGAAGAAAATATTGCTGATGATGATAGTGAAGATGAGGAGACTGAAGAACAAGTTCCACGAAGAAATCCTCCACGAAATAGACAACCACCGCCATGTGGAACTCATTTCGAGAAGACGACATCGGTGAATTGGCAATTTATTCAATGTCACATTTCAATGCTCATTCCATACAATTTCAATGTCACAATCAACTTATCACTTCACATTTATTCAATTTATCCATAACATTTTATCTAATTTATTCAAACTTCATATAACGTTTTAATTTAAGTTATTCTTAACTTGCTGAACTTTCAAAAGAAGTTAAATTTTGGTTATAATTTACCTGATTTACTGATATATCTAGTGTCCCCGAGGGACATGAGTGACATAATAGGGCAATGATAACATATTCTATGACAAAATAATGGAAGGCGCGCCCCCAGGAACGCGCCTTCATGTCCCCTGAGAAATAATAGGTACTGATATATCTAGTGTCCCCGAGGGACATGAGTGACATAATAGGGCAATGATAACATATTCTCTGATGAAATAATGGAAGACGCGCCCCCGGGAACGCGCCTTCATGTCCCCTGAGAAATAATAGGTACTGATATATCTAGTGTCCCCGAGGGACATGAGTGACATAATAGGGCAATGATAACATATTCTCTGATGAAATAACGGAAGGCGCGCCCCCGGGAACGCGCCTTCATGTCCCCTGAGAAATAATAGGTACTGATATATCTAGTGTCCCCGAGGGACATGAGTGACATAATAGGGCAATGATAACATATTCTCTGATGAAATAATGGAAGGCGCCCCCCCGGGAACGCGCCTTCATGTCCCCTGAGAAATAATAGGTACTGATATATCTAGTGTCCCCGAGGGACATGAGTGACATAATAGGGCAATGATAACATATTCTCTGATGAAATAATGGAAGGCGCCCCCCCGGGAACGCGCCTTCATGTGAATAGTGAAATAATAGGTACTGATATATCTAGTGTCCCCGAGGGACATGAGTGACATAATAGGGCAATGATAACATATTCTCTGATGAAATAATGGAAGGCGCGCCCCCGGGAACGCGCCTTCATGAATAGTGAAATAATAGGTACTGATATATCTAGTGTCCCCGAGGGACATGAGTGACATAATAGGGCAATGATAACATATTCTCTGATGAATGGAAGGCGCCCCCCCGGGAACGCGCCTTCATGTGAATAGTGAAATAATAGGTACTGATATATCTAGTGTCCCCGAGGGACATGAGTGACATAATAGGGCAATGATAACATATTCTCTGACGAAATAATGGAAGGCGCGCCCCCGGGAACGCGCCTTCATGTGAATAATACTCCGATTATAGACACTATTATATGCAACGTATTATAAACTTTCAAAACAAACTTCAGTTCACAATCTTTCAAATTCTCAAATTCCCAAACTCTAAATTCTCAAATTCTCTGAAAATGAGTCGTCTTTCTGCTGTTGTTTTGTATAATGGAGAAATTAAGGAAGCTGAAGAGGGGGTTGGTTTTGAGTCAGATCATTATATCCCCTTAACCTTGAAGAGAAACATCACAATTGAGGAGTTAATCACAAAAATTTCGTTAAAGATTCGTGTAGCAGGCCAGAGAAGACTATCTTCACTTCAGTACAGATTTCCTATTGAACTTTTTCCGCTCACGTATACATCATTTTAGCTTTCAAACGATGATGATGTTTCTATGATGGTTGATGCTCATATGGGGAGTTCACAATCTCTTATTGAAATGTATGCCACTTTTATTGAGGTTCGTGCAACTCGTGGTCTCTCATATTCCTCTCACTTTGGCATTGCATATCAAACTGATCAAGTTGATAGCCCGACACAACTGATCTGTAATGATTTCACATCATTAATGGCGGATCCAACGCCATATACCATGCCATCAAGTTCAATAGGAAGGCATTCATCTGCAACTGCTTATGATCTCAACCCACGTGGCTTCACCAATAATCCATATGGCAACATCTCTTCTACTTCAAGGGGCAGACATTCATCTGCCAATGTTTTCGACTTACATATGGAAATGCCAACGAGACGACAGTCTATTCACATCCCACATGATACAATGGCCTTAAGTTCAAGGGGAGGACACGCAAGCGGGAACTTATTTGACCTCAACATTGGATTATCGGAGGAACCCTCATCTCCACCAGAAGAACCTCTTCGGGAGCTAGGTGCAGATGGTGCTGAAACGGGATTATTCGTTGAACCTGACTCACCACAGTATAACGTACATTCTGATGATGACGAGGATGACGTTCCGATAAATACAACACCAGCCGAACTTCCTGCACATATGTATGAGGTGATTATGCAATGTATGAGCCTGAATTTCCAGATCTTCCTGATGTTGGCAACTATGGACTTCAATCATCAGTCAATGACGGTAATTTACATATTGGAATGGATTTCGCATCGAAGGAGGAAGCAATGATGGCAATAAAGAGTTACAATATTCGTAACTCAATTCAGTCCCGAGTTGATCGATCTAACACGGAGAAATATATCTGCTACTGCGTCCAACGTGACAACGGATGTCAATGGATGGTTCGTGTATCAAAGAGGAAGAGGAAGAACAACTTATGGGAACTAACCAGATACAACGGTCCTCATACATGTTGTGCAACAGGTATAAACCAGGATCATCCCAACTTGGACTCCAACATTATTTGTCAAGCAATCATGCCCATTGTGAAGCAAAGCTCTCATATAGCTGTTGCAGTGTTGATTTCTGCTATACAGTCACAATATGGGTACACTGTCTCATATAAAAAAGCGTGGTTGGCAAAAAAGAATGTCATTTGCAAACTTCATGGCGAATGGGATTCCTCTTACAACGAGCTGCCCAGTTGGTTTCATGTTGTGCAAAGACTTAATCCAGGGACAATTGTTGAGTTCGAAACTCAACATCATTACGTGAATGATCGAATGGTTCGCGATTGCTGCCAATTTTACCGAGTCTTTTGGACTTACCCTCAGTGTATTAATGCAGTCAAGTACTGTAAACCAATTGTCCAAATTGATGGTACTTTCTTGTATGGGAAATACAAGCAAGTTTTATTATTGACTGTGGTCCAAGATGGAAACCGCAATATTCTTCCTGTTGCATTTGCCCTCGTTCAAGGAGAAGACACTGAGTCTTGGGCTTTTTTCCTTAAAAATTTACGTTTACATGTTGTCACCAGGGAATGAGTATGCATTATTTCAGACCGAGGAGCCGGGATAAAAGCAGCAATGGACTCTTTGGGTACAATGTATAGACCTCCACATGTTCAACATCGTTATTGTGTCCGTCATATTGCTGCAAACTATTACGGAAAATACAAGAAGAACGACGAACGTCAGTTAGTCGTGCGGATGGGTATGTTACTTTTTCCCAATTTTTCTATCATTTTCTTATCACTTATTTATACTTCATATTAACTATTACATATTCCTAATGGCTTAGGTTACGAACTCTTACCTCAAAGGTTTGAGTCGATGCTACAAGAGCTGTTTGGCAAAAATAAGAAGGGGTGCGAGTACATTATGGACATCAGCAAAGAAATGTGGACAAATGCATATGACGGGGGGTATCGCTATGGTCATATGACAACAAACTTGGCTGAAGCAATAAATTCAACCTTAAAGGGGACGCGTCATTTACCAGTCACGGCGTTGGTTAAAACGACTTATTTTCGTTTGGGTCAACTCTTTGCAAAGCTCGGTGGACAAGCTCTTACTTGGATGCAAAACGGACATATTTACCACCCAAGACTAGTAGTTGATTTACAGAAAAGTGGCTGCATCAAATGGGATGTTAGTTACAAATTTTTCTCGCACCCGTGAATTGTTTCGTGTAACCGAAATGCCACGTCCCCAAGGGATTGAAGCTAACTCTTTCAGAGTTAATCTGCAAGAGAGGTGGTGCGATTGTGGTTTCTTTCAAGCACTCAAATATCCATGCTCTCATGTCATTGTTGCTGCTCACATTCGCATTTGGACTACAAAATTATGTTGATCCCGTATACCAACTTTCACAAGTATTCAAGGTATATGAATTTGAGTTTCCGCCCATAGGAAAAGAAAGACCCAAATGAGATTCAAACTTGGCTTACAATTGTACCAGATCCATTGCTATTGAGGGACTCAGGTCGTCCAATATCTACTAGAATACATTGTGATATGGATATTCGGGAGAAGTCAACAGAACAAAAACAATGTGGGCATTGTAGAAAATCGCACAATAGAAAAAAATGTCCAGCTCTGTTATCATCATATAACCGTTAACTCTTATGTAATTAATATTGTATTTAAATGAATGTTTTTGTTTCTAATAATTTAATGTTATTGCATTTATAATTTGTCAATGTATGTACACCTAAATAATTTTTTTAACTTTTAAATACATAAATATATTTAATATATTATTTAATATAATAATATTATTAGTTATAATTTTTTTAAAATAATAATAATTCCACCTTCTAAGAGAAAAAATTAATTAAACAAATTAAAGTTTTAAAAAATTTATGTATATGACATTTCATGTTCTGATTGGAGGATTAAATTTATTAAATTAAATTTTCAATAAGACTAATTTTATAAAATGTAAGTCTTGAAGATTAAATATGTAATTATAATTTATTACATACAATATTTTCGTTAAATATTGATATGAGATGACTAGATATAACATTTAAATAATTAACTGATAAAATTAATAGATCGATAATCAAAATCAAAAATAATAATATAACCATATGTGTAATTATAATTTCATACATTTTTCCTATAACACACATTAACAAAATACATTTGATAATTCTTACATTAATCGAAACATTTTACATATATTTATTATAATAATAATAAAAAAACTATTTATTATTAAACAAAACGTGTCTGCTGAGTTGGCAAAGGCGCGTCCCCGGGGCGCCTTCCACGTGACATCCAACTCAGCGAAAACACGGGTAAAGCGCGTCCGGGACGCGCCTTTGCCAACTCAGCAGAAATGGTGCTACTTCTGGAAATATTGGTCAAACGGTGTCAGAAAGGGAAAATTTAAAAAAAAAAGTGTCAGTTATGTCAAATAACCTACAATGCGACTCCTCTTATCCAATGGGTCCATCGTGGAACTTATAATAGATGAGATTTAGATAGGTATTCTATTATTTAAATTTAACTATTAATAATAACAATATTAGTATAAAATTACTTTTATGCTTTAAAACATTCTTTTTAATCCACCCACACCCCTCTAAGGCAGTGTTTAAGATTAACACTTAATGTTTTAAGTAATAACACTCTTCTTTTACAATATAAAAAACATCTTTCAGTTACACAAAACTGCAAGAGAAGCCACACACTTGACCAAACTAAACACTGAATTTTATAACTTTGTTCATCGTGTGAATTAAATCCAACAAAAGTTGTTGGAGCTCTAAAAACTAATACGAACAACATGCTGATTTAAGGAATAATAATGATTTGCCGTGGGTTGTGCACAATTTGAAGGGAAAACCCTTATTGTTCATTTCCTCATGTTAGCTTGAACTGCTTTTATTTATTGTATTTGGGAAGAATGCAATCACAAGCAATTTAGAAGATTAGTTCATTCCACTGATGACATTCTTGAGTGTACAAAAGAGATGGTTTGCATTCGATTGTATAGCCATTGTCCAAATAAAAATTATAGGGTAAATATGCATTTGTGTCTTGATTGGGGGATCTTTTAGATGCATTTGTGTGTTTATTGGGGGATCTTTTAGACTTAGAGGAATCCATCTCATAGATTGTATACGTCTTTTGTAATAGCTTATTGTTTTATTGGATAATATAAACAACATTTGTTCAAAAGAAAAATAATAATAGCTTGCCACACTAGCAAAACTGATTTTTAGCGGTGTTTTTTAGTCATATAACAGCGTTTTTAAGCACTGCTAAAAACCTTTGTGGCGCAAAACAAAAGTCGCAAAAAGCGCCGCTGAAACAAACGCCACAAAAGGTAGTGGTGCTTGTCTTTCACAAACGCCGCTAAAGATTATGGTTTTACGCCACTAAATATTATGTCATATAGTGGCGTTTGTGAATGTAAAACGCTGCTATTGACTACACATATAGTGGCGTTTTCTGTATAAACGTCGCAAAAGATGTGGAATTTTAGTGACGTTTTTTACACAAATGCCGCAAATTAAAACTACTTTTTCAAATATTATTTTCTACTCTTTTGTTACCCAAATTTAACCTGTAGCATTATCCAATAAACTTAACATCCATAACAACGAACTTGAAAACTTATCCAATAAACTTAACATCCATAACAACAAACTTGAAATCCATAATAATAAATCGAAGTTTAAATTAACGTAAAATATAATGTAGTTCAACATTGTTAACTAGAATAAACAACAATAACACCTAAAATGGCGTCTTTCCACGTTTTCACTACCTCATTTTTTTCCATTCATTGCTTGATAATACAGTTGAAAAATGAGGGGAAAGAAAATAAAACTTAAAAAAATACATAATCTTGAACTAACATACTCTGTGCAAGTAGTTCTACGGGTCCGTTTTGCACAAAGAAGGAACTTCCCATTTTCAACAAGCAAAGCTGCATTGGGAAATATTACAAAGATTAGGGTCACAAACCCAAATGGTATATAAATAAAAAAATAAGAAATTATTTCTCCTTAGGCAGGAAGGTCAGAATAGTACGTAGGAAAACTAACACCATGATAATGTGCCATCTATAACTAGTAGGAAACAAGGAGAGAAACTTAGAGAAATAATTAACCTTATGACAAGTAAAATTCAAAAACAAAATGATCCCAGGCCATCATGCAGCAAAGAAAACTGACAAAAACTTATTTAAGTTGCATGCAAACACATATTAAAGTTCAGCTTATTCCAGTGGAAAAAAGACATTGGACCCATTCCAATTTATACATCTATTATTAGAAGTTTAAAGTAAACAACTTGCTATGAACTCGACCATAGCAACTTTATTTGTGTGTAATACAGCTCAGCCACTAGTCATAGAGGATGACAAAAGAAAATCCACCCATAGACAGATGACATTTATACTTGAACCAAGCTGGCTAACTTGCAGAAAGAAAACATGCACTTCCAAAGAGAAATAATGTGTAGCAAACAACTAGTTAGAATTACTAGCAGAAAATATTCTGTTGTAAAAAAAAATTAAAAAACCTAGCTACAATAGAGGAATCAACAAGCCGATCAAATGAAAGCAAATTTACTAGGTTACTACTTACTAATAGCAAAGAAGTATTTATGGAAACATCTAGAAAACGACTTTGCAGCTTGTTACAAGGTGTGCTTATTGCAGATTAAAACCATTTCTGTTAGAAGGCCTTTTAGAGAGAACAAAGAGAGAATGCCACAAGAAAAGAAAAAATTCAAAATTCAAGTTGTGCCGCTTCTTTGTCTAAAACCTGCTCAGAACAATATTTGATTCAGTAAACAACATAATAAAATTTAGTTATCCAATGTGGTCACTAAGCCTACAAATTTATACCACTTCAATCGATTGTCGACTAATTATTAAAACCACGGGGTTCATTAAACACGCTTAAGAGAAGGTACCATGTACAATCTTAAATCTTAATCACCAGGAACTCCATGTCCAAGTAACGTAAGACAATGGTAAAAATGTATGTTTTACCTTGCAAGAGAGGCCACCAGCATGCAATCTGGTAGCTATAGAAGATGCACATTTCCCATAAGCTGCAGTTAGACCTTTAGGATTTGTATCAGTCTTGCCATCCGTAGGAGGTTCTCCAAGCTTTGAAACTGTAAAATATGCTAGCCCCTGGTTTGCATCATTAAGACCTTTGCTTTGAAGCCATGGCTCCAGAATGCCACTCTGAAAAAAAAAACCAAATCTGCTAGATCATCAACACCCAATGGATGATCAAATCATTTTGAATTAAATCAACAAAGTTGCAGATAAATAAATAAATAGACTGAAGCACATGGCATTAATGCAAAAACTACGGAGGAAATAATAAAAGAAAATTTCCCCAGAATAATGCATCATATCTATAAAATCAAGTAGATATCAAAATGTAGTTCAGCTATGTAATGATACTCAACTGAATCATCCAACTGTTTTATAAGGAATAAAAACAAGGGGTTTCTTTATAAACGACAAATTAAGCAAAAACATAATAAAAGATCAATCCTTTTTGTTTAATTAAACAAAATGAACAAAGAGAGAGTATGATTAGGTAAAGGTACCATTCCTACGAGATTTAGGAGTGGCCTCAAGCACAGCCTCGAGATCATCATTCCTACTACAAACCAAGATTGGACCTTCAAAATCAAGCGGCACATGTTCACCTCTCTTCACCAGCAAATCATCTCCTTTTCCCATATCTTTCAACTCCTTTCCCACTCTTCCACCGCCGAAAAATTCAAGCTAAAAAATTTCATATAACTATTCAAGATCAGTCCAAAATTCAAAAAAAGAAAAAAAACAAATAAATTGGAAAATAACAAATTTGCCACAAGAATATTCATGGGACTCATTCTTTGATAAGTAATATTCATACCAATTTAGCTAACAAATTCAATCATCCATATCATAATTAACCCTAACCCATAAATACTGCAAAAATTCAAAAAATAAATAAATAAATAAATACTAAATTGAGGAACTTTCTTAAACAGCTATATCATCAAGATTAATATACCTTTCTTAAAGGCGGCTACAGGAATCAATTGAAGACCTTTAAACCACCGGAAAGAGCAAACTCCAGATCACGATCGAAACCAATCCCCGGATCTTCTAAACAAACTAGATTCCTGTTTATCGGACGGTAAAGCAGAGGAATCGCGAAGAAGAAAAGAGGAAACGAAAGAAAAAAGAAGAAAAAGTAGAATAAAAACCACTGAAATTGATGGGAAAACGTTAACTAAGATTACCACGACGATCGCTTTTTTGAAGATGTTTCAAACGATGGGAACATAAACATAAACCGGCATGAAAATGGGTTAAAGAAGGGATCAAAGTGAGCAAAATCGATTCGAAGGGTAACGAAGGTATATTATCTTCTTATGCTATTCGTACACCCCAAATTGTGTTGGAGAAAAAGTCGTTGTTTGATGATGATCGAAGGGCTGAGAAGAAAAGCCCTCTATTGGAGAAGAAACAGCAGATGTGTTTGGGTAAACTGCGGGCATGAAAAAAATATGTAGAGTGTAAATACATGATATCACATGTATCTCGAAATTTATTATAGATACCAAAATCTGATATATCTTAAAACACTCTTCCAACATCTCTACAAAATTATCTATGCAACATAAGCCTCAAAAGTTACAGAGATTCAAAAAGTATTACATCTCTCCAAAATAATTATCTCTCACATTACCCTAAAGATTAAGACATAATCTCTATTATAGAGCCAAATACTTGGTCAACAAGAATTCTTATTCCATAAGAATTCAGGCCTAAAATAAAAATTGATTTTATTAAATAAAATCAATTACTAAGAAATCTTTAACCATTAGAATTACAATAAAATCCAACTTAATTATCAATTATAATTTATGTCAAATATAACAAATATCCCTCTTGGCCTAAATTTCATCAAAAATTGGTCTTCGATTCTTCAACAACTTCAATCTTTACGTAAGTCACATATCCGTTGAAGCACCATTGTCAATCTTTAAAAACTTCAATTCTTATCCAATATACATTGAAGTATTACTGAATCATTCAAGAATCAATTCCTTGCAACTGAAAACTCTTTGTAGCAAATTTATATTACATGTCTCTGAAATCATTAACAAAATTCGCAGCAACAAGTTCCTTCAAACCTCCATAGCCTTAACCATAACTCTGATACCACATTTTAGAAATTGGAGAGTGAAAAAATAACCAAAGCGAAATCAACATAAAATAAAACGTGTACAAGAGAAAAGATTTATCGTGGTTCGACCTTGCCTATCTCCATAGGTAAAATGAACAAAAATTCACTATAAATATAGAGAACACGAGGAATACAAATACATGATATCATATGTATCCCAAAACACGGTATAGATACCAAAACTCATCATATCCCAAAGCACTCTTCCAACATACCTACAAAACTATCTCAGCAACATAAGCCCCAAAAGTTGCAGAAATCCAAAAAGGATTACATATCTCTAGAATAATTCTCTCATATTAACATAAAGGTTAAGACATAATCTCTATTTATAGAGCCAAATACATGGTCACCAAGAATTCTTATGCATATTAACATAAAGGTTAAGACATAATCTCTATTTATAGAGCCAAATACATGGTCACCAAGAATTCTTATGGATCAAGCCTAAAATAAATATTTATTTTATTAAATAAAATCAATTACTAAGAAATCTTCAACTTAATTATTAATTATAATTTAGGTCAAAATATAACAAATCTCCCAATTGACCTAGAATTCATAAAAATTGGTCTTCAATAACTTTAATCTTTACGTAAGTCGCATATTGGTTGAAGTATTGTTGTCAAATCTTCGACAACTTCAATTCTTATCCAATATACAATGAAACATCATTGAATCAATCAAGAATTACTTCCCTACAACTGAAAACTCATTGTAGCAAATTTATCTTCCATGTCTCCAAAATCGCTAATAAAATCAGCAGCAACAAATTCCTGTAAAACTTCACAGCCTAAATGATAGCTTTGATACCACTTGTTAGAAATTTGTGAGCGAAAAAATAACCAAAACGACATTAACATAAGATAAAACATGCACAAGAGACAAGATTTAACGTGGTTCTACCTTACCTACTTATACGGGCGATGTAACACCCCAACACAAATCCGACTCGGATACGAATTCAATGTGTCACATTGACTTTTTCAAATCGTTTACTTTTAAAAGATAGTTAAAACTTAAAAAAAAACTTTTTATTTATATAAAAATAGTTGAACTCTATGACATGGTAAAATGTAGTTTTGTAACACCCCAACCCGTATCCGACTCGAATATTAGTTCGAAATGTCACATTGACTTTTAAAAACGATATTCTTACAAAATATCAAATCATTTGAATTCTTTTTAACAAAATATCTTATAACTCTATCACCTTTACTATCACAGTTAGTAAATATCAACTGTTCAATCTAGGGCATAGACCCTAATTAATTAATCATATACCCTTTTCAATCAAATTTATCCCATCAATAGCTTACTTAACTTATCAAATTCACATTTATTCTCATACACCATGTAATTTTCTTTATTCACACTCAACATTTCAACGTCTTCCATCTTATAAAATAATCACCGACGTACCTATTTCTTAAACTTTTTCCGAAACAATATTCATATCAATGAATCTTCCATTATTCCCATTATAACATTTATTTACCATATTTTAGCTCAACCGCATAGCAACTAAATTATTTCATCTAACTTTTCCACTTTAGAATAGTGGAGATCCTCTAACATTATCAAGTTGCGCATTTAATTTTCTAAACGAAATCCTTAACTTTTTAATCTAGGGTACAACCCTTATCAACTCAATCCTATACCTTCTTTTCAATCGAAATTTTCCTCAACTATATCTTACTCAACTTTTCAAACTCGGACTCTTACTCACACACAATATTATTCATATGTTTCAAAATCAAACGATGTAAATTTCTTTGTCTTATAAATTGTTCACCGACATAGTCATTCTCAAACTTTTCTATTACTCTTTATCTTTTCTTGAACATTCAATTCTTTATCTCCTTCACTACATCACATTACATAATTAAGATATGCAACTGTATTCGAATCCACTTCATATTTGATTATCATAACCTATCAATATCTTATAATTCTAATATATTTCCATCACATAATTTTTTTAGCCATTGCTAACTTTTTCCATCTATAATGCAAATCCCTTATCATATCCACACTATTGCTTATACAGCATACTATTTACACGTCTACTATTCCTTTTTACATATCACATCTTCAATAAATCTTTCGTGCTATCATAAACTTCACTTCATTACCTTAATTCTTTCATTACCTTTTCCTTATACTTGTATATTCCTTTTATAATCTGCATTGTCTTATACATAACTAAACCATATCATGTCCTTCATACTCCTATTATCCTTAACTATCACTCTCCATCACACTTTTATGACTTTGATAGTCAACTTTACTTGCACAGAACCTTATTCTTTATCATTTTTAACATTTCTATCACTCCTTAGTTTCCTTTAAACATACAAATCCCTTAACTTTAATACATTCACTATCACACTACTTTATTAATCAACTTATTTCTTTCAATCAAAACGTAAACCTTCGTCAAACTATCCATATATGCATTCTTTCCTGTCAAAATAATTCATCATCTATTTCTTTCACTTATCAAACCTTCATTCTCACTCATCCATAATACAATTCATTTGATTCGCATTTAACCATTCCATTTACCTTTGTATTATAATTGATCACTGATATACATATTCTTAAATCATTCATTGGTCTTTTAATATTCTCCAATTAACATCCATCTTCTCCACTTTATCTTGTCCATGTTGTAAATAAACTATTCTATTTCAGAATGATAAAGTTCCTTTAATACTATAATTTCCAATCCGTCAGAACTGATTGGCTTTATTCTCTGGCGGAGAATAAATAATTCATATCTGGTTTACAGTTGAAAACCATAATCTCTATCTTTCTTTGATGGTGCTTAACTCTATAAAGCACTAATTCTCTTAATCATCTGAGTTTTTTGTTCTCCAATCCTTTCATTCTGAGCTCTTGCTAGAGCTTTAACACGATTAACCATTTCTTGAAATGAGAAAAATCTCAAAACTAATAACACTCTTTTTTTAAGGCGTAAACCCCAAACAACCAATCGCATGTATCATTCTTATCCTTCTTAATCAGAATCATCTCAGCAATCAATCTGCTTAACTTATTAAACTTATACTCGTACACATGCATGTGTAATTCCCTTGCTTCATGCTCGTATATTCTAATTTCATTTGTCTTATGAACTGATCATACATGTACTTATTCTTGAACTCTTCTACAAACAATAACCACGTCACTTGATCTTTTAACATTCTTATGATGAAATTTGTCCACCATACTCTAGCTTGCTCACGTAGTAACGAAACTACTCAATTTAACTTCTCCACTTTGGAGAAATGAAAACCTTCTAACATTTTCTTCATATCATTTATCCAAAGGTCTATGACAACAGAACATTCTTTAAATTTCACCCTTGAACTCGAGTACTCTCAACTCTTTTCAATACATTTATTCTATGAATTATAGTAGTATAAAATTGAAAACACATCATAATATCATTCAACATCATGAAATGTTCTCTAATCTTGTATAGGCACTCCTTGAGGTTTTCGCTCTTCTCCCTGCCTGGCCAGAGCAGGTGAATGTTATTACCTTCAGGTCTATCGCCTTGTGCTTCACTTTAGAAACTCTTATAATCATACATCTAATATAACATAACACTTTAATTCTATTATCAAGACAGTATACTCCTTACACTATCAGATCAAAAATTTTTTCACTTTGTGTTGGCATGTATACTTTTTAAAACACTTTTGACTTCATTTTTAGCCTAGAATCGGCTAAACCGTAGCTCTGATACCATTAAATGTAACACCCAAACCCGTATCCGACTCGAATATGAGTTCGAAATGTCACATTGACTTTTAAAAACGATATTCTTACAAAATATCAAATCATTTGAATTCTTTTTAAGAAAATACGATTATATATTATTGAATTGTGTTTGTTATAAACATTTGAGGCAAAAATGTATTTATGAACAATAAAATACGATATGAATAGTACCGTATAAACAATAATGAACAGTGCCATGAACAGTGATGAACAGTACCGTGAACAGTGAAAATTTCGAAT